TTAATTTTTCCCCAGTCCAATCATGGAGGTACATGGTCCAATGCACTCTTCTAATGGGAATCACAAGTATGAGTTTTGACATGTGCTGCGACTTGCACTAATCTTCCAATCAACTCAGTTTGTACTCGTTGATCTGCACAACAGTCAAAGTCGTCACCCTTATATGAGACCCATATCTGGCACATGTGTGGCGCGACAACCACCGCGCTTTAATAAATGCGGTGTTTATAATATCACAGATACAAAATTAGCATGTGTAACATCAAGACTGCAATTCTTAAAAATATATCACATTAAAAATTATGCCCTATTTACAACAACCTAATTGATCAAATTATAGCAATATATATTTCACCCCATGTCACCATGACACATTTCGAAAAACATTACTTCATCTTAGAAACCAATGTAAAAAAGTACATTATTTCCACCATATTCCATTTTGTTTCTCGAATAATTAATCTATGCATGCACCATAACCCTTCACCTCTAGGGTCTACACATTAACCATGGACCCTTCTCTTCTAGGGTGTATGCATGCACCATGACCCTTCACCTCTAGGGTCTATGCATGCACTATGACCTTTCTCTCCTAGGGTCTACACATTAACCATAAACCTTTCTCTTCTGGGGTCTGTGCATGCACCATAATCCTTCACCTCCAGGGTTTATGCATGCACAATGACCCTTCTCTTCTAGGGTTTATGTAGATAGATAGATAGATAGATAGAATTTTTTATTTGGAACGTACCAATGAAAACTTGAGTAAAGTCCAAAAATAACAATAACAAAACAAAACATTCAGAACAACACAAACTTTCAGTATTAATACATATCAAGAATATAGAAAATAAATTTTGCAAAAATGCTAAGAATGAAAAAATCATTACTTGAAACAATAATAGGAAATAATTCATCCATGCTAAAATCTTCCAGCTTTGGGGCATAGATGTATAAAGCTGCAAGGAATCTAGATCTTTGTTCTTTGATTTGACAATTATTACAATATAAAATGTAATGTTTCTCATCCCCTACTTCATTGCATTCATGGAGATTACATAGCCTGTTTTCCTTCAAAATGCCTTTATGTCTACCGGATTCAATGGGAAGAAAATGTGCAGAAGTTCTAAATTTAGTATAAGCTATTCTATGATTTTTATTTTTAATTTTTTCCAAATAATGTTCAAATTCAAAATTTTCTTTAGCACACCTGTAAAAGTCAAGCTTACAATT